TATGTAAAGCAAAGCTTTTTCACTTGAATATATTTTTCCTTATTTCTCTGTCTGTTGTCTGTACTTACTGAAGAAAAAAAAATATTAACTTGCAAATGCACCCTTATAATTCATTACACTAACTCGTTAATAAAATAATAAGTGTAGACGTTGCCTACATTTATTATTTTATTAAGATATGATTTATATTTATATCATGAGAGAATGAAAAAAAAAACGGACATTAATTTCTTTCTGACTTGTGTGGTTAACCAATGCGAAAAGCAGAAGACATTAATTACGTTATCGGCTGAACTATATTAAAGGTTAAAGCACATTAAAACAAATTAAGTATATATTCAACGTGAAAAAAGGGAAGAGACAGCAGTTTCCTTTGATAAGAACCAGCCACAAATATCTAGTTTAATATTTTTCTCCCCTTTTGGTACTCTTAATAATTAGATGACTTTCTGTGGTGGCTGTGTATTGATAAAATCGAAATATTATGCCTTTATTCATTTATTATTTACGAAATGGCATCAATATAACGAGAAAATCAAAGCTATTTTTTATAATCGTATATATAAGTTTAAACGTCTGTATAATTATTTATAACAAATCCCCCCCCCCGCCCCATTGATCGTATCCTGCCAAAACTTTGCAGGGAGCTTCTGTAGTGTTTTAAGGAGCCATAAGCATATTCCCGCCAAGGAAAAAAATTCTTAATTTGTTTTTAGCGAACATTTTTATAGAACATCCTTCTTTAGGAAGAAGATTATGTATATGCAAAGTCGGTAAATGCCGTGATAGTGGAAAACCGTTGTCATTCATGTTTAGAAACGATTAGTGCAACTTTTCATTTGGCAACGTTTAAGAGTGAGTTTTGCAGAAATTGACTTCTAGAGGAGGAGGAGTTGCGGGAGTACTGTAGATGAAAATTTCGATTTTCAAGCATTTAAACTTAGACTTGGAATTTAGCAGCATGTTTCTTTTGTTGAGTAGAGATTTGAAATGAAGAGGTTTTTGTGGAAATCGACTCCTAAGGTGGTTACTTATTGCTCCAAGTCATTTTTTCCCAAAACAATTGCACGTTTAATTATTCTGATATGTTTAGTTTATGCCCCCCCCCCCAAACCCTTTTATTTTGAATGTGAAGGAAAAAAAAAACGCTGGTTTAATTTAGTCCAGATTACAGGAGCCTCTAAAATATTTCCATTCTTAGTCAACACTTTTTCATGCAATCCTTAAGCAAATCTACTCTCCCACTTAATTGAAACAAATTGAGTTCTCCTCTAAAATAAATTGTAAAAAAGATAATAGATTTAAAAAAAGGAACTAAACTGAAATGAAGACACATTTTCCGGATAACGATCACCAGCTCATAATCACGGAGCCCTATCAGAATAAAGTTTGCATTGAAATTCCGTGCGGGAAGCATGTACTGCATTCAGTATTCGTAAATCATTAGGTACGGCCCGTAAATGCCAGTTTTATTAGCGCTCTTCCACAGTTACGAAGGCGGGATGCATTGAGAGATTAGCGCCGGCCGAGACGTCCGTCTATAGCCCTTAATGTTACTGCCAAGGTCGTAACATTAAGACCAGTTTCTCAGCGTGTGAAGCTCAAAGACAAAGAAGAAAAATGATAGTCTTTTTTTCATTGTTGTTGTCCCTAGGACTTTATGGATTTATGTGTTTTGGGCGTGTAAACACAATAAAGGGATATTTTCTGTGGTAGTGGAGGAATAAATGGAAAGAGAATTATTTTGAGTTCATTAGGTAGGATAATTTTCTGCAATCGATATAGGTTTGATCAATTTTTACAATCGATATTTTAATTCTCTGAGGAGACTGATAAAGTACGGTATTCACATGATTTTGATGAGAGAATTTTTGAACTAGTTTTTGTATTACGAAAAAAATTACTAGAATTCATATTCAATGGTTGAGAAAGCAATGATTGAAAAAACAAAAGAGTTGTTTTATAGTCGTAGACTGCAAAAATCAATAATCGTGTTATTTAAAAATATCAAATACTGGTTATATACATTTTTTTAGATATAATGAAATTAATATCTAAAAATCTAATTTGCTTTTTTGTTTTGTTTTAAAGGTAAAAATGTGCGTTCTATTAATAATTTCACTTGCGATTAAATTCATTATTTGATGATTTTGTAAATTGCCATAAAATGTTGAACAAATGATTCAATGATAAAGCTTAAATTATTTCATATGTAGAAAAATGTTTGAAAGAAAAATACAATGACTAATTACAGTTACATTCTAAATCAACATAGATTAAAAAAGCGTTGAATAAAACTAAATAAAATAAATACTAAATGTATTGATATTATATGATTTAAATGGCGGATAAAAATTTTAATATACTTTTTAAGCTCAACAATTTCATAGAAGCAGATAAAAATAAGTGAAAGTGTTTCTTAATTATTGATTAAGATAAATTTAATGATGTTTCAACCAAATCGCGGGTTCAAAACATGGCTTCATTTAAAATGGAAATGAGAGTAGAGATTTAAACAACTCCATTTAACAAATTCTTACGAAGACAATACAATTTCAGAAAAATTGCTTTCGCTGTTCTGTTTTGATTATTTGCTTAACTTTCGCTTTAATAATCATTTTAAATACTTAGTTTTTCAAATTTTGATGAAAACATTTTCTGAAGTTTGCATCAAAGTATAGCAAATTGCCCTAATTTTCTGCAGAACATTTGTTAAAAGTCATTGCTGCATAGTGATATGTTATTATATTAATCAAATCAAAACAAACTCTACATGTTTAAAGGGGATAAAAATGAATAGCCTTATAATAAGTTACATTATAAGGCATGGTGGTATAACGAAGACGGAACATGGAGCAAACTAGGAACTAAAAATTATTAGTTCCTATTTAGCTCCATGTTGAGTCTTCATTATACCACCAGAATTTTTAAGCATGCGCAAGAGATGTATTTTTTCAACTAGATGTCAGTAAATGTCATATATTTAAAAAAAACTTAAAATCAATTTAAAGTGCTCATACCGTGGCTCATGTTTTCCGTGATGTGCAATCCGGAAGTCTGTTGTCTCAGTCCGGTCCCGAAAACGAGTTCCTCATTGCTCATGGTGTACACCCTGGAGATGGTGGCGGTGCACTTGAGCTTCATGTTGCCACCACGGAAATGCAGTTCGTTCACGATGAACTTCAAGCTCAGGCTGGAGGTCTCCAGTCCGTCCGAATGTAGGGTTGTCGAGTGCTCCAGCTCATTATCAGCTGTAGCCTGGAAGAAAAGAATCAATCAACTTATCTTGACAAACGTCCTGCAATCGGTTTTATTCTAATAAATACAGTATCAGGATGCACACTATGAAGTATTTATTAGGATTGTTGTTGCCCTTTCTCGGAGATAAGCAGGAATAGATCGGGTCCATGACTTCATATACTCTAAGACAGTGCTTCTCAAAGTTTCGCTATTTGTGACCCAATATTAAATCATAATTTTCCTCGCGTCCCCCTGCATAAAATAACAATGTAATTAATTCAATAATACTATACTTTGACGCAAGAACTACAATAAGACTTTAATCTCTTAAGTGCCACTGGCTTATATTTACTTCTCGCTCAGTCAGTACGTTAATTGCCTCGACGTATATATACGTCTTTCCCTTCAGAAATACGATCTTTTCTGTGCACTGCAAACTATTCCGAAAGTTTTGAAATGCAATAAAATGACCTTGATAGTGTTTGCGAAGGATTTACATATTTCAGAGGATTTGCTTATTTATTCCTTTTATCCCCACCCCCAATACATCACATACGCATGCCTACATGTAAAACGTTGACTTCGGGGAGAGAATCACGTAACTTTTAACAGGCAGTTGAGTGATTAATTATAAACCGTAAAATTACCAAGATAAAAATTAATTTTTGTACGTGATTTTTTATATGACAAACCTGTGGAGTCACACTGGTATTTATTAATTTTGTTCTTAACTTAGTATTGTTAAATTAATTATAAAATACATTGTGCAGTACTGATACATTTATTTGGTATTATATCATTGTAAACGTGAGTTTTATTTTTTGTTATGTCAGAATGTATTTTGTTCTTTTCTTTCAGTAAATCAATATTTTTTTTAAAAAAATAATCTTTGGTTTTTGATTTTTCTATACGCTTGCGCCCCCCTCGTGGAGTTATCATGCCCTACTAGGCACTCACCACAGTTTGAGAAACGATGCTACAAGTAAATACAAAACGAACAATAGATTGGTTGTAATATAGAGTTCCAGGAACTCTAAGGCATGTTCTGGGGAAGCAAGCCCAGTGATACATTTGGTGCAGACTGCATAGCTCTTTGCACCTTCAGTGTATGCCGAAGTTCTACGATGATCACTAAAAAAGCGAGTAAGTGTGATTTGGTCTTGCCTATTGCAATCAAAAGTCAGAGAACCACCAGAACGATTGCTCTGATACCAGAAGTGTTGTCTTGGAACAGGTCATGTGGTTTTGTTTTTGCACTTTCCCCTGGAAAAGAGTTCCAAGTAGGTAAGAAGAACAGATGATACCAAAATGTCACAAGCACCAGCTTTGGCCAATGTTAACGCGATCTCTTGGCTTTCAGTTTCGAAGTGTAAGGGGATCCACTGGAAATGAATACGATGAGCCGTGGAAAGTCATTTTAGCTTTTTCAGGATAGTCAGTCCAGTATTTCTAGGAGTTTTTCTAGGGGCTGAGCATGCTTTTCGAATTAGCAAGAAGTTCGTATTGTCGAAGGCTTGAGTTTAAGAGGGTGGACAGTATATGTATATATCTTGTTCACAAATTTTCAATCGTTAATAAAATACTTTTTATTCCTCCACTTAAGTTCAAAAACATATTCTTAAACCTGGAGTGGAGGACACTCGATGTTAATACAGTTTTTTCAAATATTAATTCCTTAATTCTATTTAATTAATGAATAAACAGTATCAAACATCAATAATAGTTCAGCATCCTTATACAAAATGAAAATCGCTCGTTGTGTCCGTTAGCGCAATGGATCGCGCGTTGGACTTCTAATCAAAATGTCGTGTTTTCGAATCACACTTGGGATGGCCTAATTTTTGAGAATGTGATTTATTTTTACCATACTATTTTATTGGAATAGTTAAATTTAATTAATGAATAAATAGAAACAAAAAAATTATAGTCCAACACCATATATAGAAAGGAAAATGATGAATCGCTTTCTATTTTGCCACTAAATATTGTGATTCTGTCATATGTATTTACATATTTATATTAATTGTAATTATTTATTAAAAAGTAACTAAAATCAAGCTTCCCTCTTTGTTGACTAAGTAGGAACTAAATCTGTTGTATAAGTAGGCCATAAAACAGTCATGTTCTGTAAAAAGTCGGAACTGAGCCGCGACCACTTCGTGTGGGCAGTGGCTATCTGGCTCGAGGTCCTTCCACTTTTTAGTAGATATTCTTATCATTAGTTGCAAGCGGAAATAGGTGAAGATGTTTTTTAAAAGAACTGGTTTAAAGGTTGAAAAAGGGAATGGGGTTATAAGTTCCCTGTTGAACAGAAGCACCCTTTTTGGCGAATAAATCATCTATTTTATTTCCTAAAATTTTGCTTTGAGAAGGGATCCACTGGAGGGGGACAATTTCAATTCTAAGGTTTTTCGATAAATGGGAATGCAATTTTCTGCATAAACTTTTACATTAATAGAATTTGTTTCTTCATATTTAATTCAACAAACTAAATAATAACATTCCGATTCTCTTAAAATATTTTTTATTCCATCACTAAGGCAATATTCAGGTACATTAGGAATAAAATTATAAAACAAAGATATTAAATTCAATGAAATAACTCATTAAAATAAAATTGTGAGATGATTACATTTAAATTAATACAAAAACTAATTATTACATTAATTAATTACAAATGTATGTTTGTTGGTGTGTATAGTTTGTGTTTTTTTTTCAAAGATACATTATGCAAAATTTGAAATAAAGGGTAAATAATAAAATGAAACGAAAAAAATATTTTAATGGAAAACGCACTGCAAAAATATAATTAAGTTTTTAAAGTAGACGTAGATAGTTCTTTTGGGGAATTTTTTTTTTAAACTTTGAATAATTTGAGGTGAAAAAAAGAAAAAAAAATACCAACAACTTCAGTTCCCTAAAATTAAATCAGCACATTATGTATACTTTGAATAATGCAGCGAATTATAAATGAAAATTAGCCTTATTTTTGCTTTCCTGCTTGTCTCATATTACTGACTAAAAGGGAAAAACAACTTCTAGGGGAAAAAACTTAGCTCCCAGAAGCTAAGAATACAGGCAACGTATTTTTCTATAAGAGGGAAAATAAGAGCGAGTCTCAAGAAGCCAATGGTAGACGGATAAAACAAGAAAAGTTGACTTTGAAGAAGAAAAAATATAAGAGGAAAATAAATAGACAAAGAAGTAATGACATACTTTTGAGAGCAAATAAGATTAATGATATATTAGAAATATTAATTTACTCACTAAAAGAGGAAGTTTGCAATCGAAGTCTTTTAAATAATAAAACTTCCACTAAAATTCCGTTTATCTATGTTATGGTGCACTAGTTTTCCTTCTTTTTACAGTTCTTTAATTAATATTACAAGTTAAACTTTCACTCAAGACTTCTGAGAAAGATGCTTGTGTTTTTGTAGAAATAATTTTGTAATTATTATATCAAAGTCAAAATTCTTAGTCTTAACCCTAGGAAAACTCACGTGGAAATTTTCGCCATATAGACAAATATATTCACCATTTTGTTTGTTAACTTTCCTGTAAAATTTTTGTTTTCAAGTTTCCTAAAATTTTAAATGGACTTTTGAAGAATTTTTGAGCAATTCTCCCTTGTGTACATTCTTGTTGCTCTTTTTGCGAGTTCTCTTGGAAGAATTTGATTTTTGTTTTGATGCTTTATATTTGTACTTTTTTGTAATTTTTAAATTTTTCTGGGAATTGTTAGATTTTTTTTTACTTATGGGTATGTAGATTTACAAAATATTGAAAATTACTTTTTAGATTTTATCGATTTTGAAACATTTTTGAGTGAAATATCTTTTTCATAAGATTTGTATTAATACTTTTCCCCTCTTTTTAATGGTATGGTGAATATCAAATTATCCATCTTTACAATACAAACAACTATGCGTTTTTCAAAATTTTTCATTTACTTAAAGTAATGAATGTGCATTATATGATCAAAAGCATCCAGACGTCTGTATGTTTAAAATTTCTGACAGAGAATTAAAAAATGAGTATGAGTTTGGATCCCCTTTTTCTATAATAAGACCTATCATAGCATAGAGAAAGTTACTCACTACTTTTTGGAAGTTCGTATCGGGAATTATACCGTTCCAGCAGAACTCTAGTTAATTTTATCACCTATTTGATCATCGCGGTCTAAGTCTCAGGCGATGTTTCCCTTTCTGGATTCAGGTCTGGAGTTTGAAGAGTTCAGACCAATTTCTGATCATCTATGTCAGCAAACTACGTCTAAAATGACTCAACAGATTGGAAAAGAGGTTTTGTTCCTGTTCAAGTGGAATAGACCATCTTCCTGTCCAAATATAAACGGCCTGGAATTGTCCAAAATGTCGAGATACCCTTCCGTCTTGGCAGTTCCGTGCACAGGGGTAGAAGGGTTTTGGTTAAACCAAGAGAAACCCCTCCAAACTACTATTCCTCCATCCATAAATTTTACCTATGGTGCAATACAGTCAGTTATTAGCGTTCATCAGAAAATCTCTGTATACAAGCTCTACCAATAAATTACCACAATACATGCTTTGATCCATCGTTCCATTACTTCTGACAAAAAGTTCAATGTCCAAGATTTGACTATCATAATCAAATTTTGGCATGGGTTGCCATAATGTTTGTTTAATAACCAACATATCAACCACTGAACCAAAGAAACCGAAAGTGACGAATTGTCATCGTGTTAATGTGTTCTAAAGGATTTCTGGAATTCCTTACGGATATATACTTTTCGAATTCGAGTGATTGACTTTTAAAATTCTCTTCAGTGCTCTGAGGTCCTGGTCTCTATTAGACTGCATACTCTATCTTATATGGATACGCAGTTATATAGCTCCTGCACGTTTCTACAATACATAAGAGCGGGACTCTTCTAATATTGCATCAACTTCACGAACAAACTTTCCACAGCGGTGCTAACCGATCACGTATTAAATCATTCAGCTGAATCATTCCTGTTGTACTTTTCTAGCTTTACGATTTACGAACTCGTCTAATTTTTGTTATAATTGTCTGGGAGCTAGTAGATTGACGTCGCTGGGCGAATTTACTGCTGAAGGAAGAATACTAAGGATAAGTATAATTTGTGCTGATTATTTACTCGAAAGAAATCAGGACACTTTTGATCATATAGTGTATTTCTAAGGACAGAAATTCCGAATCACAGATCGTCGGCAAATCAATGAAAACATTTTATAATCTCATCATTGAAAGTTTGCATACAAACGATCATTTTCCTTATTCATGCAACAGTCACTAAGTAACAGGAGTCTTTTTGAGTCAATGCAACTTTTACTGATTCCTCTAACGACGTAAATTAAATTGGTATAACAATCACCTGATCTGTACATAAAATGATACAAACATTCATAACTTGAGAACGACTCAAGTCGTGGTCATCTAATTAATCATACACTGGAAAAAGCCTTAACGATAATTGATTGCAAATAAAAGATAATATCTTGTAGGATATCCCCTCCTTTTTATAATCTTTCTCAACCTATTTTTCAGGGGGATTCAACTAGCTTAAATATCTCTTCAGAGATTAGTTTGTTCCACTCTTCTACCAAGATAGATTAAAATTTTTTTTAGATATTATTACATGTTACCTGATTCTCCACTCAAATATTTCAACAATACTTTTGGTGATTTGGAAAGGTGATAGTCTTTGATTTACCTTTACAAATACTTTGCGTATTACAAAGTGGGATTCTTACGACGACACTATCGAAGGGTGGACGGATCTTGGATTAGACGTCAAAATTTTAGTTTATTTGTAGTTGATGAACACTTTTTAAATCAATGAATGTACTTGTATTTATTTAAGATGCTAATATTGATTACTTTTCTGTTACCTATCATAGTATCCAATCATTCAAAACCCAAATAAATCATAACAGAAGCTTATAATTACCTAAAACACAACCTGGTGTAATTATATCACAATAAAAGGTCTTTAAAGCTCTTTTAAAAATGTGTGCTGACTTTTGGGGGGGGGTTATTGGAGATTGCTTGGGGATAATTCTTGAGTTTTCATGTTAGGGGGTGTTTTTTTCCTCTTTGAAAAAAATAATTTTGAAGAATTCTTGATAGGCAGGCATGTTGAATTTTTCAAGTGAGATTTTAATAGTAATTTTAGAATGAACACCTAAAATGTTCAACTGTATGCCGAGTTTCTGCACCAAGTGCATATGCTACCCGGGGTAGCTGTTTTTGCATAAAACATTTATAAGCTTTTTTTAACAAGTAAAATTAATCTTTTGAAGTCAGCACAACAGTGCTTTCTCTAAGTTGAATTAGAAGTGATTCTATGAGTTGAATTCTGACTAGTCATAATATGTAGCTTAAATTTAAAAGCTTATAAAAGCTGGAATGCAAAATAATCATATGAGCTGGGTTTGAAGAAATCGATTATAGCAAGAATTTTAAAAAAAGTGAGTTTCAAAATTTTTCCGATTAAATTATTTAAGACATCGCATCTTACTGTGTATTAAACTCTTTTAAATATGAACCAATGATTTGTTTAGCTTCATTTCACGATATTGTGGAGTTATTTAGTTCATTTTTATTCTGAAATTGCATGTCTGAATGTTTCTACATCATAATTTTTTAACGATTTTAAATATCTGCTCTTTCAATATCAATTACTTCGATAAAGACACAATTATAATAATATATTTATCCTAATATTATTATAACTCAGTTTTAAGAAGTATTTCAAAACGAGAAATAACTCCTTTTAATGCCAATGCTCGTATGGTGAAACTGAGAATAAATGCTACAGTAAAAATGTAGA